GACCACACGGAATCATGGAGCCAAAAGAAAGGTCGAAGTCCAACCATTTCAGGAGATGAGCACAGATGACTCTACAGGCAGAAACCCAAGCTGCACTAAAGCCTGTCGTGAAAAACAATGTTCTAGGAAGTAGCAGAATCATAATCAAGTAGGTCCAACAAACAGATTCAACGTGGGAAGTACTCAGACATCTATGCCGAGAAACTTGCAAGACTGCTAGCCACCTGACCACCTGAGCAGAAGACGTCCATATTCATGCCCATTCCAAAGAAGCATGATCCCAACATAATGAAGAAAATATGAAGCAATACTACTAACATCACAGACAAGTAAAATCTTGCTGAAGATCAAGCAAAAAAGGCTGAACTGCCAGAAATTCAGGCAAGATTCAGAAGCGTGTGTAGAATGAAAGATATCATTGTTAGTGACAGATGAGTCTTACCTCAAAGTAGAGAATCCTAGATGCTTACCTGTGTTTCACTAAATATGAAAGGGCATTAGACTATGTACATCATAAAAAGTTACAGATAACTGTGCAAAGAATGGGAATTCCAGTACACTTAATTGTGTTCATGTAGAAAATTATGCACACGCCAAAAGGAATTTATTAATATAGAACAAGGGATATTGCATGATTCCAAATCGGGAGTGGTGTGAATCAGGGTTGTAGCCTAACACCATACTTAATCAGTATGCTGAGCAAATAATCCAAGAATATGGATTTTATGAAAAAGAATTCAGCATTGGGATTGAAGGAAGACTTGGACAACCTTCCATGTGCAGATGACTCAATCTTACTTGCTGAAAGCAAAAAGGACTTGAAGCACTTATTGATGACTATTATTTTGAAATGGATTACATCCTAAAGTACAGAAAACAAAAAATCCTACCAGCTGGACCAAAAAAGCAGTATCATGATAAACAAATGTAAGACTGAAATTTTCATGGATTTCATTTGATGAGGCTCCACTATCAACACTCATTAAAGCAACAGATGAAATGGCATATTGCACTTGGCAAACCTGCTGCAAAAGACCTCTTTCAAAGTGTTGTAAAACAAAGATGCGCACTTTGAAGTGCGCCTAACCCAACCGTGAGATTTCCAATAGCCTCAAATGCCTGAACAATGAGTAAGGATGACCTGAGGAGACGTGTTGGCAATGATTATTGAAGATACCACAGACTGCAAGAAGAAAGGGGAAAAGACGGGGCTGTCTACTCCCATGAAGAGTTACAGTCTCGGGGACTCACCAGGGCAGTTCTTCTGTGTCCTATAGGGTTGCTATGAGTCAGCGTTAACTATATGGCAGCAGGTTTGGTGTGGTTTGCCCAGAAGGAAGAACAGATCTGTCTTGGAAGAATGACAGCCAGAATGCTCCTTGGAAGCGAGGATTGTGAAACTTCATCTTGCTACCAGTCATGATTAATAGAGTGTCAGTATAAAAGAAGACCCCTCGGGAGATGGACTGACAGTGGTTTCAACAATGGGATTATATATAGCTTTAATTGTGAGGATGGCACAGGATCACACCGTGTGAAGTTGTACATTGGGTGGATATGTGTCAGAATCAACTTGATGCCATTTATCAATAACATACTCAATACCGGAGAAACAGAGTTTAAAGCTAAAACAAAACAGGCATTGTCCCAGCTATGATAAAGCTTAAAATCTAGTACATTCACTAAATAATTACTAAACTCTGCCCCTATTTACAATATGCAGTCGGGATACTAACTATGAGGGCTGCGGGTGGAGAGTACAAAGGGCAGCACTGAGGGACATTTCAGAAAGGGGGTCAGGGGGTCTATGGGGTCAACGGAAGTGGACGAAGGAGGAGAGTTACAGAAGGATGGTGCCAAGACTTCCAACTTACACAACTGAATTGAGAGTGGTGATGTTAACCACAATTTTTAAGCAGAAAGAAAAGAAGGACGGAAGAAATAAAGGAAGGAAGGAAGAGCCAGGTCAGGGCTGGTTCAGTTTGGTTCCGAAAGGGCTTGCAGTGCTAAGAAACATCCAGGCCACCAGTCAACAGCTGAAGCAGAATGACTGCAGCTCGGGAGAGTCTGAAATTGGAGAGAGAGTTGGAGTTTCCAAGCGGAGAGGTAGGTAAAGTGTTCTTGTGGTTTTATGTTTATGTTCCCACTCATCATGTTCTGCAGGGAACGGAAATGGGAATGAAACGTCTCCTCCTCCACAGTCACAAAGGAAGTCTTCAAACCTAAGTCCATGCAGTGTGTTGAGCCAGTGCTTCTCAAAGTGTAGTCCCCAGACTAAGGTCACCCAGGACCTTTGTAACGCAGATTACTGGGCCCCACCCCAGGCCCACTAAATCAGAAACTCAGGAGCAGGCACACATTCGATTTTAAAAGCCTCCAAGTACTGCTCAATTTTCCCCCCAGTAGTTTTATTGGCAGATAATTCACCTATCATACGATTTAATAGTTCAATCACATGAAGAAGAACTGTGCAATCCTCACCACAATCCATTTCAGAACATTTTCTTCCCTCTTGTATTCATGGTCGTTAGCACCCTAGTCTCCCCGACCTGCCCTTTCATGCCCCCTCCAAACCAGAGCAAATTCACTGCCGTCAAGCTGAGCCAACTCATAGCAACCCTAGATGACAGGGTAGAACTGCCCCAGTGAGTTTCCAAAATTGTAAGAGTTGACAGGAATAGAAAGCCCCATCTTTCTCCCCTAGGTAATTATTAATCCAGTGACAGTCTCTAAAGATTGTTTTATCCCCTCCAGGTGCTTCTGATGCATGCTCAAGTTTGAGAGGCACTGTACTAAACTATCCATTTTAAAAGAAAAGTCAATTAAATTATATATATATATATTTTTTTTTAATTTTACTTGTTACCTTATGTTTAGCAGTGAGTCCTGGTGGCATAGTGGGTTATGCATTTGGGCTGTTAACTGCAAGGTCAGCAGTTCAAAATCACCAGACAATCTTGAAGAAAAAGATAAGGCTTTCTACCCCCATAGTGACAGTTTCAGAAACCCACACGGCAGTTCTACCCTGCCCTATAGACAGGGCTCTACCCTGTCACTATGAGTCGGAATCAACACCGTGGCAACGAGTTTGGTGTTATGAGTGTTATGTTTAGCAGAAGGAAAAAAATTTAGCTAAAGGTTACTACTTAAGTTTGGCAACATCATTTGCTCATTCATGTATTAAACGTGTGTTCAGTGGCTACTTCATGTTAATACTCAGGGGACCCAAGAATAGAGCATAGAACACTAGATCCTGCTCAATGAGTAAGTTGTGGAGGCCGAGAAGACAAGAAATGTTTGAAAGGTTAAGCAAGTACAATTGCATTTAAAAGTTACCGTGTGTTACAGTTCAAAAGAAGTAGGGCATCAGGATTTAAGCGCTAAATAAACACCAAGGGCACCAAGTACAGTCCACTGATGGAGAGCGAAATTGCCCTGGCTGGAACATCATGGTAATTAAACATGAAAGAGAAAAACTCACTGTTAGATCTGAATTTTCTGTGAGCTACTGCAAAACTCACAATCTGTATTGAGGTCACCAAGAAAGTAAATTTCACTTAGTCAAATAACTGCCATGAAAGGGCAGAGTAATTGACCTTGGCCCAAGGGCAAGTCCAGCACTGGTAGCAATCTAATAGGTCAAGTTCTTTTTTAACAATGCTTTATATAACCAAAAGTATCTGCAAGTATGGAAATGTTCCATAGAAGCCATTTTTAACCGTAAAATCATCCAGGTCTAAATCGTTACGTAGCACTAGGAAAGCTGTGGGCGGAAAGGAGAGTGAGGGCAGGAGTTGTCTGGGAGCTCAAGTCACACTTTTAAACTCAACTATTATTCAATATTTTACACACACATGTCCGTAGAATCCATTCCCCACTCATGGCGACCCTGTAAGGCTAAGCAGAACTGCCCATGGGACTTCCCAAGGTGTACACTTTCTCCTGCGGTGCAGCTGATGGACTCGAAACGCTAACTTTTCCGCGCTTCACCACTGCACCACTAACATATTATTAAATAAAAATACTGTTGTTTCCCGTATTCTCTTCCAAGAAAGCGACTACTGCCACGTTTACAGAGGGAATAGTATAGTAATAAAGTCACTCTCCTGGACCAAGCGCTCTGGTCCTTACTGGACTCCAAGCATGCAGGGAAGAACCTCACCAGAGCAGGGGGCTTGCTTGCAAGCAAGGGGCAAACATGCACAACAAGCAGCCATCTGTGGTGACAAGTGCCTCGGGATACCACGAGGCGGAAACCCAGCAGGAAGGACGGAGCTAGGGTTGCAATGGGTTTGGACACGAAAGCCTGTAAGACCAGATATTGGGGGCGCCTGGACAGGGGCGCGCGCACCCACACTGAGCGCGAACTCCCCCCCTTTGGTCTCGAGGACGCCTTTTTAGCGCCTCCCTCGCCGACACCCGGGGCAGACGCTCCGGTACCGGTTCCTCTTTCAGCCAGGCACCGCGGTGGGGCACGGCCTTATAGGGAGAGAGGCATTCCGCCCCCACCGCGCCCTTCATCCGCCCCCTTGGCACCCAGCGCAGGACGAGCCCTGGTTCCCCAGCTCCGCGTTCCAGGCCTTCGAGCTTGCCTCTGGCCTGAAAGCCCGGGCGAGGGGCGCAACCCCACCGCCGGCTGCCTCCACCTGCATCCCTCCTCACGCCAGCGCCCTCCTCGCAACCAAGCAGGTCCAGGTCACCCCAGCGAGCACCGTGGGGGCAAAAGGTCCCTGCCATCCCGGGACGACCTACAAGCCCCGCGGGGTGCAGCGGCAGCCCGGCGCCCTCCCACCCTTCTCCACCCGCCTCTAAGCCTCCTCTGGCACCCCAGGGCGAGCGCGCCGAGCGCATCTCCAGAAACGACGGGTTTCCTAACCGCCACCGGCATTGCGCCACGGATGCCCGCGTTGGGTGCGGGGGGAGGATGGAAGCAGAGGCTCCCACGCGAGGACCACTCCGCTCCCTCCCGCGCGGGGCCTTCCTCTCCGCGGGCACCTTACCTTGGACCAGGCGCCCCCGGAGCCGCGGGCCGAGACCCAGAGCCGCAGGCCGGACGAGAGGAGTTTGAGAGCAGCCATCTTCAGGACCCCGCGGCCGGATCGCGGGCGCGTGGAGGTTCGAATGGGAGCGATCGTTGTGCGCGCAGCCCGGGCGCCGCCGCGTCACCGCGGAGGAGGGTAGGGCCGCGCGAGGGGGGCGGGC